GGTCCAGAAAATGTTGGCGATGTAGATGTCGAACTGGCATTGCCGGGAACTGTTGTAGGGATGCCGAAGGAAACCTTCACAGCGACGTCGCGGTCGGAAAGCTCTGAGATTGTGCTTCTGCGTCAGGAATATCTTGACGCAGATAGTAACATTGAAACCCGGCTCCGTGACATGGAAAAGACGATTAAGGCTATGCTGGACACCTTCCGGACCCAGAGAGCCGTAAACCAAGTGGTAAAAAATGGAATGGCAAAACTAGAGGATGACCTTGGCTTCGTCTTTGCCTGCCGTCTGGTAAGCAAGGCGACCATGGAAAAGATTGCCGAAAAGGTGGTGTCCCTGCCCGATGAAAGAGCGCTGCCTTCTAAGAAACGCCGGAGGCCTTCCACATTGGAGAGTCCTCCAAAAAGAGAAGAAGGTGTCCAGACCAAAAAGACCACGGTAAAGGCCAAGGCGACTCAGACGGACCTCTCGTCTGCTGTGCCCAGACCCTTTTCAGACGTAGCTGCATCTCGAGCGAGGCGCCAACTGGCACAGCAACCCACGACCCCTCTTCAGGGAAGTTCCCGAAAGGGGTCAGTGGTGGAGACACCTGGGGCTGTTTGGGAAAAACGCCTTTCCAAAAAGGAGAAGAGGCAATTGAGGCGGGCGGAGGTCGCCTCCATGAAAAATGAGGCAGTGAAGGCACAGCCAACTGGCGCGGCCCAAACTGGGCCCGGTTCGGTGCCTGCACCTAAAAGGTTGCGGCCAAAAAAGCCCAGGATGGAGGCAATCATTGTCAAACCCTCAGGGGGGAGATCTTTTGCCGAGGTCTTGGGTGCAATCAAGGCCAATGCTAAGCCAGAGCAGACCGATACGGTTGTACGGTCTATTAGACAAACCCGGGGCGGGGACGTTCTCCTTGAACTGGGTAGGTCGAAAGACAAAGCAGCCTTTACTGCCGAACTGAAGGCAGCTGTCGAAGGCCAGGGCACCGTACGTTCTCTTGAGCCAAAGACATCAGTCGAGGTTCGAGACATTGATTGTGTGTCGACGGAGGCTGATGTTGTGGAAGCCCTGAAGAAAGCTATCCCCGAGCTTGGTGGGCAAACGGCTTTTCTGAAGGTGTGGCTCACAAAACCGAATAGGAGCCAGCAGCGGATGGCGGTCGCCGAAATGGCAGACGCACATGCCAATAAGGTGCTGGCACTCCAACATCTGAGAGTCGGCTGGGTCAACTGCAGGCTCAGACGGAGAGTGGAAGTAAAGAGGTGTTTTAAATGCCTCTGTTTCGGCCATTCCTCCCGAAACTGCAAGGGACCCGACCGAAGCAAGAATTGCCTTCGGTGCGGGGAGGTCGGTCACATCCGTAAGGACTGCCAAGTCGAGTCCTGTTTTCTTTGCAAAGAAAATGGGCTCGCTGAAAAACACTTGAAGCATATAGCTGGGTCTGGACAGTGCAGTGCATTTAAATCTGCACTACAACAAGCGAAAGCCCTCCCACGAAGATAAGAATCCTTCAATGCAATCTTGAGCGATCCAGGACGGCTGACGCACTTCTATGTCAGCTTGCCCTAGAACACGATGTCGACGCGCTTTTAGTCAGCGAACAGTACCAGCACCGTGATAGGGATCCAGCTTTTTGGTTCCCTGATAGTCTTGGTACTGCTGCAATCTGGGCGCGTAATGCAGCTACAGTACAAGTACGGGGTCACGCGAAGGGCCGAGGTTTCGTTTGGGTTCGGTGCCGGGATGTCACTTACTTTAGTGTCTACCTCACTCCCAATGAGGCCATCCGTGACTTTCGTGAGAAGATAGACCGCCTGGAAGAGAGCGTGCGCAATACCTCAGGACACATCGTCGTGGGTGGGGATTTTAATGCTAGGGCTGTCGAGTGGGGAATGACCCTCACAAATTCCCGGGGCAAGTACATTCTGGACTTTGCTGCCAGAGCCGGACTCGTTGTCGTCAACGAGGGCAACACGCCAACTTTCCGGCGCCCTGGGATGCGGGGAACGATCCCAGACATTACCCTTGCATCTGAGTCTCTTTTGCCAAGGATCAGAGCCTGGAGAGTCCTGGAGGATTACACGGCCAGTGACCACCAGTACATAATTTTTGACGTCCTGGATGGTCACCAGAGACAAGTGGCAGCGTTTCGTCAAGTGCCCGTTCGATGGAACATTAAAAAACTGGACGTGGCAAAATTCAATGGAGCCATCCTACGAAGAACGCCGGTGGTTCATCCTGCAACTGGCGTGCCTCACGCAGAGGCGTTAGTTGCATCCACGATGAAACTGATTGTCTCGGCCTGCGATGAGTCTATGCCTCGCAGGAGATACTGGTGCAATAAGCGTCCTGTGTACTGGTGGACTGCCGAGATTGCGGAATTGCATCAAGCGGCATTGAGGGCCAGAAGACTTGCTACCAGGGCTAGAGAACCCCTAGACAGACGGCGTAAGTCGGATGCTTATAGGGTGGCTAGGAGGTATCTTCGTCGAGCCATCAATCGGAGTAAACGCAGTTGCTGGGATAAATTAAGGGACGATGTTGATTCCAACCCGTGGGGCCTGGGTTACAAACTTGTAACCAAGAAACTTGGAACCCGCTCTCCACCTTCCGTCATGGACAGGGTCACTATGGAGAGGATAGTCGAGTCCCTTTTCCCGGCTCACGCGTTGCGCCCACTGCGGGATTATGGAAGGGTGGACGACGTCCCACTTTTCAGCCCTGAAGAGCTGGTGGCGGCCGTCATATCCCTGAAGAACAACAAGGCTCCTGGTCCCGATGGGGTGCCCGGTGAAGTCCTCAAGAAGGTTTTGACTACCAACCCCTTGATCCTTTTGAGCATGTATAACGCCTGCCTGGTTGAAGGGGTTTTCCCCTTGTGCTGGAAGACAGCTAGGCTTGTGCTTGTTGGGAAGGGCAAGGGAGACCCAGATCTGCCATCCTCTTACAGACCTCTGTGTATGTTGGATACGGCTGGCAAAGTCCTCGAGAAATTGATCCGTTCCCGGCTAAATTCAGCCGTTGTCGCTGCGGGGGACATCTCCCCTCGTCAGTATGGATTCAGGATGGGGCGATCAACGATTGATGCGATTGAGGAGGTGAAGCAAGCCGTGATGAGAGCTGAGGATTTTACCCACTACTCTCGCAGGGTTGTGCTGCTCGTAACGCTCGATGTGCGAAATGCATTTAATTCGGCGAGGTGGTGGGATATGCTGGATGCTCTGGAGAACACCTTCCACGTGCCGGCATACCTCATGCGCATCATAGAGGATTATCTACGGTTTCGCCTCCTAACGTATGACACTGCGGAGGGCCCGCGGACGATGAGTGTCACTTCTGGTGCTGCCCAAGGTTCCATACTCGGCCCAGACCTCTGGAACGTCGCTTATGACAGCCTTCTGAGGTCTGAAATGCCTGAGGAAACAGTCTTGGTTGGGTACGCAGACGACGTTGCAGCTTTGATAGCTGCACGTAGCGTTGAGCTGGCTCAGCTAAAGCTAAACCGAGTCATGCGTACCATAAACGCATGGATGGCAGACCACGGTCTCTCGCTTGCTCTGGGCAAAACCTAGATCGTGATTTTGACAAAAAAACGGATTGACACCATCATGCCGTTGAGGGTGGGAGCCGTCGAGGTTCAAACTGTTCGTTCTGCCAAGTATCTTGGGGTCATGGTAGACAGCAAGCTTAGCTGGCGGGATCAGATCTTCCGTACAGCGGACAAGGCCGCTAGGGTGGTTTCTTCTCTTAGCCGGTTGATGGCCAATGTTGGAGGGCCTCGGTCCAGTCGTAGAAGGCTGTTAATGTCTTCGGTCCAGTCCGTACTCTTGTACGGTGCGGAGGTGTGGGCAGACGCACTAAATAAGGAGGCATACAGGATGCGGCTCGCCCGAGTGCAGCGTCAGGCAGCACTGAGGGTAGCATCTGCCTACCGAACAGTGTCCGAGCCCGCCGTCCTGGTGATTGCTGGAGTCATCCCCGTCAAACTTTTGGCGGCGGAGAGAAAGGCAATTTACCGGCGCCGTGGGGAGGACGAGGCACGAACAGAGGAACGCACCCGCACCTACCAGCTGTGGCAGGAGGGCTGGGAACAGGAGACACGGGGACTCTGGACCAGGCGACTGATACAGCAAGTCCAACCTTGGGTTGATCGGCGGTACGGAGAGGTGGACTTCTACCTCACCCAATTTCTGACGGGACACGGCTTTTTCCGGTCGTACCTGTTCAGGATGGGCAAAGCCGTGTCACCCGACTGCATATACTGCCCAGGCATTCTCGATGACGTGGAACATACATTTTTCCACTGCCAGCGCTGGGAAAGGCCCCGCCTGGAGGCTCAACAGTTAATAGGACTGCTGTCGGTGGACACGGTCATACCGATTATGACGGAGGGTGAGGACAATTGGACCTGTGTGTCACATTATATCCAGGGTATTCTCCGCGCCAAGAAGATCGACCTTGACCGGGATGCGGTTGTAGGTCATTAAGAATCGAAATGCCAGAAACGGTGCGAGCCCTGAGGGCTTAGGTCACATGTTGGCCTGACTTGAAGTAATGTGACAAACAATTCCAGGTCTGTGTCCAACAGAGTAGAGGGGGTTTTTTAGTGAGTAGTCTGACAATTTTCAGGAGTCTCACACTACAGGCTGGCTACCTGTGTGCGTAAAAGCATTTTCCCTCCTCTCCCTAAAAAAAAAAAAAAAAAAAATAGGTGGTACTTGATAATCCAACATTTAATAGTTTCACAGTCAGTAATCCTATGCTGCATAAGGAAATAACTTAGCTTAAAGGTATATTTTGGTAATTTGACATCCCCCTATACACTCCCAGTGCTGTAAATGTTGTATTATCAAGATTCGCTTGTAGTGTAAAGTTATTGTGTTTCTTGTAACGAGATGACACTCTTTCCCACTCAATAGTCTGCTATCCCAACAAAAATCCTTACAACCGATGCTCCTTTACCATTATTATCACTACTGTAGGTCAAAAGTGATAGTTTGTATTAAACTTACGAACACGAAAATCAGTGATTGTATCAGCCATGATATCAATCTGTGCGTCCTCCCAAGCATCGGCTCCTGTCAACCCAGCTAGTCTGCCGAGGTAGCGCTCGATGGCCAGAGACTGATGCATCAGCTTACCATCCACCTCCAGCAATGGGACCTTGCCAAACGGGGTCTCTACACACACATTCACATGTAAACATTTTCATGATGGGTTAGCCTCTGGATCGAAAATTGCAATATAAAATGGTTTACGTTACCTTTCTTGTAAAACGATCCTTGATGTAGTCGATTTTAACTACACCAAGGATCGTTTGACGCAAAAGGTAACGTAAACCGTAAACATTGACTTTTATACTGAAGTAGGCATCTAACCTATACACACCAGCTGTTTTCATTCAAAAAGAACATCGTTGAGTTAGCTACTAACAGAGTGTGCCTCAGTCTGAAATTCTGACATGACATAAAAGATGCTATCACTCACAATTAATAAGTCATCTTATCAGTTTGACTTGGTTAAAAAGTAGGCAAACTCTACACAAATTGGTAATTTACCCCAGCATACTCTATTGGTGGCTCTATTCACCTACATTCATTTTGCTTCTAAAACGGGTGACAACTTACCATGGGAGTGGGATATCTAGTTCTATCAATCGTAAACGATGTAAATTCAGTTAAAAGCCATTAGTTCGTAAATTCAGTAGCAAAGGTCAGTTGTGAAGGGGGTGACATTTATATAATAGAAGATTCTCCTAAAAAGGTTTTCAAGGGTAGATGCTTCCTGAAAAATAGATTAAAGTAGATGTGGTACTAAGTAGACCTATATACTGACCAGCTTTCTTTGCTGGCCAATCTCCGAACTCCATCCTCACTTCTTCATAGTCTGCTTCCAAAATTTCTAGCAAAAATCTGATGGGCTCGCAGATACCCTTCAAATTGAAGTAAGTCAGCTTATACTTTGGTGCCATTTTCTGAAATTATTATCATATGGTATTAGTGCCTAAAAAGCTATGAATTTTGCGTCCAAGTTTTATAATTGCAAATCAAAAGTTACCGGTACCGGTTTAAGATCAAACACATTTAGTGATTATTATCATAGACAAAAAGAATTAAATATAGACCGTCAGCTGTGCTGCGGTTACCATAGGTTCTGGCGCACAACGCTTGGAGCGCCATTGTAGTTACGGCGTACGCGCTACGTAAACTTTAGCGGTGTGCGCTGGAACCTATGGTAACCATGGTAACTGCAGCACGGCTGACAGTCTATATTTAATTCTTTTTGTCTATGTTATTATGGCTTTCAAAACTAATGTTATTCTAATATGAAAAATTCTACATGAATTTATCCTATGCCAGTTAGAGTTAATTTCAATGCCTGGTTAAGATATGAACCATATGGCAGTTTTTCTTCTTCTCTAAATCTGAACTAAATTTGAAGATAACCCCCTTAAAACGGTTATTACTATATGACCTCTATGCAACCTTCCAACAATCCAACAGCTTAAACTAAAAATCACATAGACCAATAATACAAGCAATCTTTATTTACATTTTTTGACATGGAAAAATAATAAAACTTTTTCCATTTAGATTAATAAAAAGCTGGTACTCCAGCCCCAGTCTTCTTTCTTGTCCTCCTTAGACACATGCTGCTGGCCCTTAACGTTGCACAGATGGTTTTCAACCTTATCCAGTTCATCACTAAACTGTAAGGTTTCTTCCATTTTTCTGTGAGGCGTTCTGCCATTGCTCTGAGCAAGGTCTGAAATTCTTTGCCTAGCATTCCGTCCACAGGCGTGACTAGTGGGGTGAAAGAAGCATTTCTTGTTTCTGTTATTGTTAAATATTTTTTCTTCTTCTCTCTTTCTGCATTCTCCAGAACTTTTTCGTATGGGAGGTTCAAGTACGATGGAGCATCAGTGTCAACGACACGTACATCGAATAATGCTTCCGTCTGAACCTCCCATACACCCCTACAAGCCAAGTCTGCTTTTAGTGCTGCAGCATCCAATGACCCTTGCTCAGAGATCATTGGTTCTCGAACACAGTTTCCCCATGCTAGCTCCATCAAGCTTCCAAGGGTATCCCTTACCTCATTATGTCTTCTTATTATCAACCCACCTGTGCGACAGTTAAGGGCATGTTCCATACTGAAGTTTTTGCCACAGCCATCACATGAAGAGGGGAGGTGTATTGGAGTTTTCCCATATCTTAGTGCAAGAGCATCTCTGAACTCCAGTGGAGAAAGATCTAAATTAAGTTTTTTTAATGGAATACATGACAGCCATCCACTGTGTTTCGCTTTAGTATATTTGCTCCTCGCAAGATAAGTTTTTGTTGTTTTAGAGGAAGATTTTGAATAGTCGATTTCAAAATGTTTTCTTCTTCTAATCTTCTCTCTTTCAAGTCCTTTTTTGTGATAACCAAATGTTCTTCATGTTCTTGCATGCTTATTTTCCTCTTAGTTTTTAGAGAGTCTATGATGAATTTACAGCATTTATTTGAAGCTCGGAACAATGCTTTTCCCTGAGCGGTAGGATCAACTAAACCAATTCCTCCATTTTTTACTTGCAGATGTAATATTTTTTGTTCATCTTGGTTTAGATGACAGCCAAATAAAGCAGGAAATATATTTTGTTCTATTGAGTTTTTTATCAGATAAAAATTAATGTCTTCACTTTCAACAACTCTTTGAAAAAAATTCCATTCGACTTGTATGGTTTTTGTGGCAACAGTATGTGCAGATTGTGGATATTTTTCAGCAACATTCGCCAGACTTACCAAATGACTATTCCACTTTTCCACCTTCTTTTTAATAAAGAAATCCTTTTCTGTTTTGTCACATCCAACAAATCCTCCTAAAAAACTACTCCCAGTAACAATCTGTAATCCTGATATGTTGGCTAGGTCTAATGGGGTCGCCGGAATTTTATCCCCCTGGAATTTTACCCCCTGGGCAAAGCTGACGTCACTATGACGTAGTAACCTGAGTGGCCAAAAGTTTGTTCGCGGCCGGAATTTTACCCCCGCGGATTTGGAAGTCTTAATGAAAATAGCCAGAGCGTGATTAATTAGATTAGCGATAAAAACCGGAATTTTACCCCCTGTCCATATAACTAGCGTTTCGACAACTGAAGATGTACGGGCCGGATTTTTACCCCCCGGAATTTTACCCCCGGAATTTTACCCCCTAGCCGATTTTAGAAATGAAATGATTGATTTTCTCATTTCTGTTTTTAATTAATTGTAAACATTTCATTATTTAGTATTTCATGATGGGTTAGCCTCTGGATCGTAAATTGCAATATAAAAATGGTTTATTTTACCTTTTTGCGTCGAACGATCCGTGTGTAGTTAGTACAACTACAGCTGTTTCATACCACTAGGGTACATCATCAGGTTGTTGGCAGAACGTTAGATAAAACAGCATTCATTCATAGATGAACTTGTCGAAATAAATATGTCTATATACACATAATACACGAAAAACATTTAAAAAACATTTAAAAAACACGAATTTACGAACTTGGCCAAGTAACGAACACACGAGACAGGCGCCGATGGATGTTGCGTCATGACTGCTGTCGTGTGTCCAAGCATCAGCTGTTACCCCTCCCCCCCAACTCCTTTATCAGGACCAGTTTTGTTTTGGTTTAAATGAATGCCATGGTCTACAATACTGCCATTCATTTAAACCAAAACAAAACTGGTCCTGATAAAGGAGTTGGGGGGGAGGGGTAACAGCTGATGCTTGGACACACGACAGCAGTCATGACGCAACATCCATCGGCGCCTGTCTCGTGTGTTCGTTACTTGGCCAAGTTCGTAAATTCGTGTTTTTTAAATGTTTTTCGTGTATTATGTGTATATAGACATATTTATTTCGACAAGTTCATCTATGAATGAATGCTGTTTTATCTAACGTTCTGCCAACAACCTGATGATGTACCCTAGTGGTATGAAACAGCTGTAGTTGTACTAACTACACACGGATCGTTCGACGCAAAAAGGTAAAATAAACCATTTTTATATTATTTAGTAGCCTATCTTTATGTATTTATTTTGTAAAGAAATGTTCGAAACAATTATCATTCAGTTGATTGTTTATACGTCATATTAACCAACTGTTGGCTTCAAAGATCGAATCCTAATACTAAAATCTCAAAATTAAAATTAAAAACCTGTTCGTTTAGTTAATGTTACAAAGAAATTAATTAAGGCTACTTAATAATAAAATGTTTACTATTAAATTAAAACAGAATGAAGATAATTAATCATTCTCACTAATTTATACATCTGGCCAGGGGGAAAATTCCGGGGGTAAAAATCCGGGCCGTACACTCTAGGTTTTTATAATTTGATGTGTTCTGATTAAATTCACAACCGTGAAAATATATGTTCAATTCCGCGTTTAATCCATTGAGCTGATGTCACGAAACTCAAAAGTTCGCGGCCGGAATTTTACCCCCTGGTTTGTGACGTCACGTTTGCCCAGGGGGTAAAATTCCAGGGGGATAAAAATCCGCTACCCCGTCTAATGTTGATGGATCAGATTAAAACATAGACCGAAAATACATTCAAGAACAACAACAACCTTCAGGGCCGGATTTAGCATTTTTGCGCCCCTAGGCCCAAAACAATTTTCCGCCCCCTAGTCTGGTCACAGTTACTTTCCTTCAAACCTTTATTAAAAACTATATCACGACCATAGGCTTAAGTTAATTGCTTGAATACCACTCTTCGTCGGAATCGTTGCATTGCAAGTTTTTTTTAAGAATTGACTTGTTTAGCATTAACAAAATGCCATCTTAAACATTTTTAGCAAATTTGTGCCTTTACTAAATGCTCACGTTTGTGGCCGTGGCCGCCGTGGGACTGAAACAAAACAACTCAACTCACCGAGCATTCATGCAAAAAAAAACATGGCCATTAGATTCCAATTCAGGGTCAAAAACATGAACTCCATATAGTACGTGATACCATAGATTAAACATACTCCTTTAGTAGATTTGTCATCGTTTTGGATTAGCCTAGCTGAAAACAATTCTTTTTATTTAAGGAGTATGTCTTATCCATATTTAAACCTATTATCCAAAATAAAACATTCTAATCATTAAAAATAGGTCGTCTCCTGTTTATATCAAAAGAAATTAAAACCCACATCATAGAACTAACCCTAAAATAATAGAAACAAAATTACGTGATAACTAACGTCAAGTGTCACCAACATAAACTAGACATTGACAAATTTTGAATTAACAATGTCATAAGAAGTCGACTTGAGTGAGTTATATTTAATCTATGGTTGTACTGCATCTAGGCTTTGACTATTCAATGATCTAGGTTATATTTCCAAAGCAAAACAGAGCAATATTCCGGCCAACCATACCGATCCTTAGGTCTGAGGAGAAAATTACAGCATTAATGGTGATTTGGAGGGTATTGAATTTTTCTAAAATATAATGCAAACTGAAATTAATATTTTTTCTTAAATTTTAAAGGTAAATTCGTCGTTATTTTGATATTCAAAACAACGTATTATATATTTGTATTGGTTAATAACTTTTGTTTTGTGAAGTGAGGGTGGTAAAAATGTCTACCACGCATGCGCCCCTAATCACTCTGATCAGATAGTACCGAGCCCGAGCCAGCATAGTGGCAATGCAGTGGCAAAACTATGCGTACCGCTAGGGTGCTTGTCAACGTCAACATCCCTAAAGCCTACTCCCGTATAACCCGGGGCTATAGAATACATATTGCCCCGCGTATAACCGGTGTTCGCTACCAATTTTGCAACGAAATTGATGCGTAGTTCTGAAAAATAGTTTAAGTTTCCTAACAATTATTTCCTCTTACGAACCTCAGAATCACAACGCTTAAACAGGCAGTTTTTTTTATCAACTAAGACTATTTATTTTCATTTTTAGATATAAAAAAAATCCTCTCGGTTGTGCGCCCTCTGGGACCTTGC